GGGGTAGACAACCCAGGGAATGGGTAAAGGTTGTAGAGGACGTAGGGAAGGGGCTCGACATCCACGAAGAGGAAACGCTGGAAACGGAGGGTCTACAGGGGTNTACGTGACTGAGCTGGGAAAAATAGATGGGACGTACAGGGCGATGTTTGAGGCATGGAATAGAGAGGGAAGGACGGTAGCTGTACTGGGGCATAGGAGGTGGGTTGAAAAGGCGGGAAGAGATATCGTTAGGATAGACAGACTAGGGAAGACATTTTTGAGCCACCTTTGGCAAAGTAGAAAGGAACGATTGGCCATTGGTGATCGGTCCTGTGGGAACAATGCTCCGTCCTCTCGAGGACGCGTGGTCAATGGCCTAACCGCTAAGACATGCAAAAGGTAAGAGTACAACTCGGAATGCACTGACGTGGACTACTACTTCAGCCAATACCGGTAGCATTTTCATGTTCCCGCCAAACACGGTGGTTCATATGAAAAGCCCCACCTACTTACATGAAAGCAACGCCTTTCCATGTCCCCGTCAAGGTGAGGTTGCTAGACCTGTGTCGATGGAACCCTCGAAAAGACAACTCGCCTGAGCGCAACCTTGGAGCCATTCTTCCATCTCCTGGCGACCCTCCTCCAGCCTGCGGTGCAAGAGCTCGCGCTCCGCACCGGCCTCGCGAAGCAGCCGCCGCGCCGAGGCGAGCTCTCTTTCTGCCTCACGGAGCCGCAGGTCGATAGCCTGCCGTCGGGGGACAAGGTATGCCAGGGGAAGGAAGGAAGTATCGTGGTTGAGGAGGCGGGTGGAAGGAACGCAAAATTTTCATGAAGGGTTGCGCGTCAATCTGGACTGCCAAAGCATGTCGTTGCCTGTGGAGATGAAAACGAAAAGAGAAAGCTAAGACTTCCAAGCACTGGAGAAGGAAGGCGGAGGAAAAGGGTCCTGGGTGGCCTTCCTCTTGTGGCACCCTGGCCGGCCCGTCCAGATTTGCACCGAAAGGTAAAAGTACCGACATCAAACACAGCTGGGACGACCATAAACACACAGACTTTGAAGATACCCTTTTGCTGCTCTCCGCTCTTTGCATCGGTGGCTTCCTGGGTTAAGGGCGAGGGCATGTGTGTCTCTGTGAAAGAAAATGTGGAGAGATATATTTTGGCACTCGCATTGAGTGCAATCTTAGAATTTTACCCCCCTTCCAGGGACTTCGATTGTGCCCGTTGGCACTGACATCTTTAATTTGGTCAGCCGGTTCAGCGAGGTCCAGCCAAGACGAAACACCGACACATGAAAAACGACACGCAAATACACACCTGTTTCTCGCTGTCCCGCTTCCTAAGCTCCGACACCGCCTCCTCCGCCCGTACGTCCGCCCGTTCCCTCGCCGCCTCCGCATCCTCCCTCGCAGCCCCGAGCCCCTCCTCCCTCCTCCTCGACGCCTCCCTATCTCTTACCCACGCCGCCTCTGCTTCCTCCCACTGCCGCATCTCTACCAGGCGCGTCTCAGCCTCGTCGAGGGCGTGGAGGGCTTCGTCCAGCCGGCGGGTGAGCTCCTCTTCTCTCTCTCTCGCGGCCGCTGCCGCTGCCGCTGCCGCCGCCGCCGCTGCTTCGGCGTTCGCGAGGGCGGCAGCCTCTGCTTCGGACGCCGCTGCCTGCGCATTCCGTTGCGTGTATTTCGTGAGCGGTGTTTTCGTCGTCGCCGGCGCCGGCGGCGGTGGCGGCGAAGGGATCAAATGAACCGGCGGGAGGGTCAACAAGATGATGCGTGCGAGAGAGTGATCAATCACGCTCCAGGTACGACAGAGAGGGCCAGCCGTTCGTTCAAGGGGGGTGGGGTACTCTCATGTGTTGCATGCCTTAGCGCTTAGGCCATTGACCACGCGTCCTCGAGAGGACGGAGCATTGTTCCCACAGCACCGATCACCGATGACCAATCGTTCCTTCCAACTCTGCCAAAGGTGGCTCAAAAATGTCTTTCCTATTTAGACCATCTATTTATCGATATTGCTTCCCGCCTTTCAACCCACGTCCTATGCCCCAGTACAGCTAACGTCTTTTCCTGGCTATCCCATGCCTTAAACTTCTCCCTGTACGTTTCTTCTACTTTTCCAGATCAGTCATGTACGTTTCCCTCTCCTTGTACAACGGACATTCCACGACTACATGGACCCGGTCTTCGCACGCGGCGCCGCAATCACATTTGAACTTGGCGTCTTCACTGTCTACCTTCCTATACCTTCGGCTACGTTCTCGAATGCCAATGTCCCCGGTCCTGAATTCGACCTTCAGCATTGTCCCTGCATCCATTGATCCATGTAGGTACTCCTTGAACCCTACTCCTTCTTTCAACATTCCGTACACCTCTATCCCCTCCTTATCTTTGGTTTCTTTCCTCAGATTCTGTGTTTCTCTCTGGGCAAAAGCAACAGATATCTTCTCCTTAAATCCTAGGCCCTCCGTATCCAGTGTATCAGCTTCGTCAATTTTGAACCCCTTCCGTACGTCCTCTACAACCTTGACCCATTCCCTGGGTTGTCTACCCCTCTTATTGTTTGCCCACTTCGCCTCCCATACAATCCTCGGCAACCTCTCCTTTCCCATACCGCACATGCGATACTGCCATGTCAGCTTCCTTGCGTCTCTTCCCGATCATAGGGATCGGATCCCCAGTTCTGCCCTGACGGTTGCAATACTTGCGCGCTTGGAAAATCCTAGTACTATTTTCGCTGCTTTCATCTGCGCCGCCTCGAGCTCTTTGACTACGTCCTTTCAAAGGGGAGTGGGGCAAACCAATGAGGGCACTGTTTTCTTCCCGGAATCCTTTCTTGTCAAGGCAACATCAACATCAAAACACACCACACACGCACGACAATGAGCAACGACAGCGACAGCACCAGCAACAGCAGCACCGACGACCACACCAGCAACAACGACGCGGCGGTTGACACTGTCCTCTGGCTCACCTGGGCCTCCTCCTCAGCCCTGCCGCCGGCCTCCTCCAGTTCCGCCGCCAGCTCCGCCACCCTCCGGGACGCCTCCTCTCGACCTTCCCGCTCTGCTCCAAGCTCCCCCTCCAGAGCCTCGCACGCCTCCACGGCCGCCCGCAGCTCGTCCCGGGCCTCGTCCCGCTCCCGACCCGCCTCCGCGGCAGCCGCGTTAGCCGCCGCCGCCGCGCGCCCCAGCCTCTCCGCCAGGGCGGCGGCGCCGGCCTCGGCCTCCCGGGACGCCTCCAGCTCGAGCGAGGTCCGCCGCAGCTCGCTACCGGCCGCCTCCCTCACCGCCGCGGCGCGAGTCTCCGAGTCAGCGCGGTCGGCCTCGGCGGAGGCCAGGAGTTCCGCCGCGCGGCCGTCGGCGGCGGCGAGCTTAGCCCGGAGGGCGCCAACGAGGGTCTCGGCGGCCGCAAGGTCAGACGTCGCCGCCGCTAGCCGCTCTCCGGAGGTGAACGCCGCCCGCCGAAGGCGTTCGATCTGGTGCCGCTGGGCGTCGGCTGCGGCTTCCAGGGCTGCCTTTTCGGACGCCAGTTCGGCGGCTCGTCTGTCCGCCTCCGCCTCTCGGGCTTCGAGGCGCTGCTCGAGTGTAGCCTTGGCCGCGAGGATGTGTTCTTCCCTTGCTCTTTCTTCCGTGGCAGCCTCGGCGGCGCGAGCTTCTAGGGTCGTCTTTGTGTCCGGTAACGTTCCGCGGGACGGCGGGTCGATGGTGATGGACATTCCGCAGGACGGCGGGTCGATGGTAATAGACGTTCCGCGGACGGACGGCGGCAGGAAGGGAGAGTTGGGGGTGAGAGGAAGAGGGGGCGGGGGGGTTGCATTGGGAACAAAACGAGGTGGATGATTCCGAAGCGGTGAGACGCTACCAAACATTCGCGCACGCTCAATGACCCCAGGGATTAAGATAAAGGGACATGAGGGAGGTCGCATATCGAGGCGTACTCTTATGTTTTGCATGCCTTAGCCGATAGACTATTGAACACGCGCCCTCGAGAGCACGGAACATATTCCCATAGGACCCACCACCGATGACCAATCGTCCCTTCCTACTTTGCCAAAGGGGGCCTAAAAATGTCTTCCCTTGCCTATTTATCCTATCGATATCACTTCCCGCCCTTTTAACCCACGTCCTATGCCCCAGCACAGCTACCGTCTTCTCCTGGCTACTCAATGCCTTAAACATGTCCCTGTATCTTCCTTCTTTTTTTCCCAGCTCAGTCATGTACTGCCCTCTCCTTGTACAACGGGCATCCCGCAACTACATGAACCCGATCTTCGCACTCGGAGTCGCAATCGAATTCGAACTTGTCGTCTTCATCGTCTGCCTAAATCTTCGGCTACGTTCTCGAAGGCCAATGTCCCTGTCCTGAAATTGACCTTCAGCTTTGTCCCTTCATCCGTTGGTCCGTGAAGGTGCTCCTTGAACCCTATTCCTTCTTCAACATCCCGTACATATCTAATCCCTCCTTATCTTGGGCTCATTTAGTTTGATTTTGTTCTTCTCTACAGACAAAACCGACATGGACCTTCCGTTTCCAGCTTATCACTCAAGTCAATTTGTCTCCTTCGATACGTCATCTGCAATCTTGACCCACTCCGTGAGTTGTCTACCCCTCTTCTTTATTGCTCACTTCGCCTCCCAAGGTATTCTCGGTAATCTCTCCTCTCCCATTCCGCATATGCTGTACTGCAGTTTTAGCTTGCTTGCGTCGCTTCCCGATCGTAGGGATTGGATCTCCAGTTAGTAATGCCCTGACGGCTGCACTGCTTGTGCGCTCTTAGCATCCAATGATGGTTTCGCTGCTTTCAATCTGCGCCGCCTCGAGGTCTTGACTACCTCCTTGTTTCCTTTCGTTACTTCTCCGGTGTACTCTAGCGGAAGTACGATTACGCTCTTCAAAACTGATGCATGTATCGAGGTGCCGGTTTTCGGATATTGGGTGCAGCTTCCTTGCTCGAGCTTTGGTCGCATATCGGGGGGGGGTTCGGGTGTATTGGGGACGAGGGTGCTGTGCGCAGCTTGGAAAGTCAACCTCGTTCACAACAAGAAACCTATTGAGTAATACATGGGGTGTGGTCTCCAGCGCGGGTGGGAGATATTCATGACGCTCGGCAGCTCGCTAGCGCTAGGGAGCGGCAAGAGGATGTGGTCTCTTCCTGTGACCAATTTCTCCAACATGTTTCGATCCAATACATGATTCCGTCATGTACTCGGTCCAAGCTCGGAATCATCAATCCGATTGGATTCGGTATCATCCTCTCCAAACACCGACCGGGCCTTGCCAAAGTCCACCACCTCAGCACAGCAGGGCTGCGAGCCTACTTCATTTGCGACTTCATGGTCCACAGTAGCGCCCCCCCCGTCGCAAAAACGCCCCTCCGCCCCCCCCCCCCCCC